ATTACTTTCTCTATGTTTCGAGCTCTACGTCCGGCATAGCCGTTAAGAATTCTATGGGAAGCTAGTAACCAACGCCATGTTTAATACTGACCCTATGCGTCAAGCACTAGGAGTGATGTTAAAAAACGACTTGAACAATAACATCTCTCAAATCTCGCTCTATTAGCGTGAAGAATTAAAGCCGTCGGCAAACGCATTGTGATGATCACCAGGATTTATTGCTTATATATGCTTAATATAATGAACGGTTATGACCAACTGACAAGACCTACCACTATGCTCTAGTTATTGGCGTTTAAGTTCTTCAATTCGAGTATCGTCCCATGTCGACATTCGGCAAAGGACTTGGGACGGCATTGGGACGAAGGTGTAACCCAATCGAAAAGTAGATTTGATACTATTGTTGCGTTTTTTTCTTAAAAACTTTTGATGAAGTGGATTTTTAATCGTCATTTTTGCACTGTTCGATCACACTGAAAAGTGATAATAGCTAACCAGGGTTTAAATAAAAAGCTTAGCTAATTTTATAAGCATCGAAATAAAATAGTGTGCAAGCAATTTGAATCGAATTTTTTTACGGGATTATGGGCTTGCAATATTTCTAGCAAATATTTGATAACATCTTGGGTGAAAAATGCAGACAACTTGCTATTGTAAACATGGTATATAAAAAAAAGTGAGCACCTAGGAAGCATTTTATTACGTTTCAGATAGAGTAGGCTCAACGTTGTTCTGCTCGCAGCAGGTCCGTGCATGGGTAGCCATCATTTGACAAACTCCTGCCTACAGCTATGTGATGGTCAAAATGAGCTCCGCAAAAGGGCCCTTCCTACGGTCCGGATCGTAAATGTAAATAGTCTCATTGTCTGGATGCTCGCAGAGTTAAGTGTGTTTTCGTGTTTTTTTTTTTTTTTTTTTTTAAATAATCAAGGACTACCGATATTTTTGGCACATGACCATCAGCAGGCTTTCAGTCTTGTGAATTGCACAAACATTTTGTCGTAACCAGAAAACACTGAAAAACACATTTGAAACGACTTTCGATTTGCCAATTGAGCGCCATTCACTACGTGGTCCCTTTGCTGGCCAATATTTTTTTTAGTTTAATTTATATATATATATATACAAGAAATATTATACAAAGAGAGAGGGATTCGGACCCGAGCCCAGGAATTGAAACAACAAAAGTAGGCTACTAGAAACCCCCGTGGAACTGACCATAAATTTCGGCTACACGGTGAAAGTGGATCCCACAGTGCACGATTAGATTGCAAGATGCAAAGGTGCTTAGTCGGATTGAGTCTAAAAAGCCAGGGTCTGCCCAAGAAAGATGTCACTGACTACTTAGGAGGGTCTCGGCAGTTCCTCAAAAAAACTCATTAAACTTCGTCGTCTCAACGACGGCAGTTTGTTCAACTTAGGCCACGCTGAAGTAGAAAAGGACGCGTGTACCTTTGGAAAGAGTACCGGAAAGATTCGTCTTTCTATACCAACTAAGTGCGCCTCGTAAAAGCCAAAGCGCATACTTTCTCCTTCACAAACTGATTCCAACGTTTAAACTTTTCTTATTTCCAATTAATTGAGGTTTAGTAATAGGAAATATCGGGATTATGTGGAAAAAGTCAAATCGGTAATGAGAAGGATTTTTCGTTAAATTTTTGAAACTATTGCATGAATAGTTGAATTTTCCTGCCCGTATTGCCAATACAATTGTCAAAGATTTTTTTTTTCCAAAATTAAGTTTTTTCCAAAATTGAGATCTTCGGCATATCCCGTTGCTGGCAAAGACCTCGCACGGCCTTGCCGAATTGAATTTCGTTCCATTATGGTTCATGCTAGTAGGTACGTTCAGCTCTACTATTTCGTTGCCGCACATCTCTCCGCTAAATAACTCGAAATAGTAAGCTGATCGCGTCTGACAGGTTGGAAATTAGTTTAATAAGATTGTATTATACGGCAGCTGTACTACCCAGTGTAATACATCTGTCGAATATGTATAATGTTTTTTATTCGTTTCAACTTGTGCCGTCCCACATTTGAGTACAACCGCAAGTCAGTACCTATTGCATCTATAGAGGAGAACGGCTGTAGTTGCATCTCGAAAGATTGTGTTTAAAGGACAGTTCACTCGTTGTGTGCTATTTTAAACGGTAAATAAAATCTAAGTCGCCAATACTCGATAAAAAAGTTCTGACGTGGTGCTCAAAGGGTATGATATTGAAATACAAATTAGACAAACATAGAGTTATATTAACTGTACATTCAGGTAGTGCATATTGCCAAACAAGCGGGTTTTTTTTTATTTTCCTGCACAGTGAAGGCTTCATTCAAACAAAAGAAAAAGACGGTGCCAAGCCGTTTCTACTTATATATATCGAGCAATATCGAGCAATGTTTCTATAATGCATATTCATGACTGCTGACGGCCCTGTAAAATACAAAGTAATTATAGTCACTCATTTGCTTTTAAAGTGGTATTTACCATTCTATTTTACATGTAATGCACACGTACCAAAACCTCCCTGGAAGTTGCAAGTGATCCGCAGACTGTTATGAATTAGATGTTTTATGTTATTATAGTATAATAGGAAGGAAAGATTACTTTATAGAGCTGGTTAATTTACCCCACTATGCGCGTTGGCATATTTTAAATTATTCGATATGTTACAGAACAGATATTAAATGGGTCTAATTTTTGAGGGTGAGTTGTTATCTCATTTGTTCAATACAGCTAATCTAAGCAGTGAAAAACCAGCCAAGGGACTTCTCCTATATGTGACGCTTCTGCAATAAATGCATCATAAGTACGTAAAGATCTTGAGCGAAATAAATAATGACTTATATGTTGTAAAAAAAAATGGGCGCATTAATGGGTTCGGGCATCGTATTGCCTTGCTATTTTTGAAACAATTTTCGTGTTGTGATTTTTCCGCTAAATACGTGCTAACTTTGCTAATGCTACCTATCAGTTGGGATACTCCGCACTAACGTAGACCGCAACGCAATTAAAAGCTCTCGCAGGTAGAATTATATATGGGGTAGGTAAATCACCATGTAATATGGATAGTTGATAGAACTGATCGTTGGCTCTGTTTCATAGCGATAGGCGTACTGGCTTCGACAAAGAAATCTATTGAAGTTATTAACGAAACGATAGTTAACTTTTTCGTTAACACGTTTGAAATGTCCAATTCCGTCAAGCTAATCGTGTCGAGTTCCACTCCCGATATTGCTGTTAACAATTGAATCAGATAGCTGGATCCATTCACACATCTATCCAAGATTCTACGCCCGGCCTTGAAACCATCCAACCTCTTTCGTCGTATCTACCACTTACTGAAAAGCAGATTCGTCTGAGAGGCACAAAAAAGCAATATCAGTCTGTCACAAAGTTTACTATCCATTTCGTATCGTATGAAAATTTCAAAACGTATCCCCATCCCGAAACTGAAGGTGGTCATCGTCCGATCTTGTTCAAGTTGATTACTCGCTTATGGCTAAGCTGGCCATTATAAAATACCTACAGCATCTAGATTTCAAGTTAATATTAATGTGTTTCCGTAAATTTATACAGAAAGACGTGCATCATACCCTAATTCAATTAAACTTTAGATTTAGCGCCTCAACCGAACGAGGCCGCAAACGATAAGAGCACTAACAATGGCAACGTTGCATTAATTGCGTTTAATTCAATTAACTGAATCTGATTTCTGTGCTAAAATAGCATAGTAATGCTAGTAATGGTATAATCCATAAACTACTAAGTGATGTTAACAGCCCGAGGCTCAGTATTCGCATTTTTCGGAGGCCATCGAAAGCGCTATTCTTTCTGGACCGTTTGTTCTGACGGCACCGCTGTAACTGAATCTGCTGAGGAACAACGGCTTCTTATACAAGCAACACTTGAGCCAGCATCTTGAAGCCTTTTCCAAAAATCCGATCGTATTGGCCTGTGCGATAAAAATTTGGTAGGACACAGGTACTACTCACTTAGGTACACATATATCGTGTAGTCCGTCGAAGAGCGACGAAGTCCCGATAAGGACACGAAAAAGAGCAAAAACAAACGTAGAATAACGACCTTACGTATAAATCCAAGCTTATAAAACTAAATACTTATGGTGTTCTTTGTATGCTTGAAGTTACTTGACGAAATCTATTACGAACCTCGCTATAGTGGCGAAGCTTTGTCCAACCGGCCTCCTCGTAGTGTAGCCACTCAACAGAGGGCATGTCGGAACTCCTTTATTAGCAGTATCTTTGCGACATCTATATCGTGTGCGATTGAATAAAGCCAATAACAGCGGAAGGCGTACTGCAAGCGGTGTGAGGAAGTTGTGAGACAAGAGAACCAGACTGGCAACGGTTTTGTATTGATCCTTCGTAAGTTGGCGGGAAAGGCTACAAACTTTTTCCCACCTATTTTTTTCCCATTTACATATTGATGGTAACAGGAATGAAAGCAGCTCTTCGAACTCGTGCGTCATACGACTGCATTTAGCATCTTTAGTTTATGAGACTGCTTAGCTTGTTTGATTGTAATAAAGTATATGGTCGGAAAGTTCCGTGTGATCCCACTTTATCTGCCAGGAGTCTTTCTTTTTTACTCATTCTATATCAATCAAGGTTTATTGACACTTCACATTATGTGGTGTTTTCCCGTCTGGTCTACAAATCATTGTATCTATTAAGTAAAATTACATATACCACGACGGTATTGGAACTAGGGTTTTTCTCTAGATAGTGTCCTTAAAATCCTAATACATATTTATAACCATGTTGTCTACGCAACAGAGTATATTGGAAGTATAGATATGGTAGCGTTAGCAAAGATAAAAGGTACTCATTATCCTGACGGAGGGTATCCATCCTCAAGTAGAGTGTAAAAGTTCGTAATTATTGAGATCACGTGAGACAGCGTTAATGCCTATAAACGTTGCTTAAGTCGTCCACTTTTCGTTGTCTTTTTCCTACCGCCTATCTGAGCTAGTACTAAACTTTTAGTAGAGACCTGTTATTTCGAAGTAGAACAGGATTTATGATAGGGGCTATATCTATATGCCCAGCCAAAATAGCAAGTAAGACTCCTCTCTATGGCGTAGAGTATTTTGTGAATTAAAGACAAATTTGTTAGACGAGCCTCCAAACTCATCCACGGCTGTGGGGGCACCGTTACATTGCCCTTTGAGATGCGTGGCGACACCGAACAGAACTTTACAAATAAGCATGTCGATTCCAGCAGAAACCAGCTGGACCCAAAGGAAACACCGGTGGATTCTCAATGTAAACTTGAGCCAAAGAATGACTTGGAGTCGAAAATCTACATTAAAAGGTTATTGTTTGAAGTTACGTCGTTCAAGTCAAGTTGTGAATTGTGGTATGGATGTCTTTGGCCGGATATGGAATACTCTGGTCAACTTGTTTTACCTGTAATTGAAAAAGTAGGTAATGAACCTTAGACTGTTCTTACTATATACGCGCTAGGCTTTTTCATCTTACCAGTAGTCGTTTTACGATAATTTAGCGATCTAGTATTTGTGTGCTGGTGAAAAACAATAAAACGGTCTCAACACCATGATGATTTACCACTGGTGTGTGTTAGTTTAATAAAAGTAAAACGTCCGACAACAACATAAGGATCCTAATCTAGAATAAATTTAGGATCGCTTGACTGATTTTTCACACATACGCATGCTCGCAAGAACAATGCAGGATGTCTATTAGAATAAGCTCAACTTTTGATAGAAAAACCAGCTTTAAGCAATCCTAAATGGACGAATCTAACGGTTTTGCAAATCTTTTATTAATTGAACAGCAACTATGAATAGTTTTTCTCTCTCCCGACAGATACTGTGTATAGTTCCGTGGCAGCAGCCTCGAAACAGCCAGTCCCTAAATAGTGATTTTCTATTTTTGTTCAATCTCAAGCTGGAGCGTCTTACTACTTCCGGCTCTGAAGGTTCTTTGGATACTTTGACCGCTGGTACTACGAAAACCGTGAGATTCGTACAGCTGCAGCCTTGTAGCCATGCAAGGCCCTGCTATGTGTTGTCCTGATCTTCTTGCCTATGACTTTCCACTATAGTTAAAAAGATTTCTCGATCTGCCACTTAGCTACCTGTCGAGTTACCGCCGTTTTTAGATATATTAAAATAATCAATATGCAAATAATTAATAAAATCAATTGTTTATGATTATTAGATGGACTGGCCCGGATTGCGCTTGGAGTTGGGTAATAGCTGCCGCGTGCTCATTTTTAAATTTCTTCACGTTCGCGTTATTACGTTCGGGTTCCGTACTTTTTATGAACAGCTTAGAGTACTACAAAACCTCACGGGCATCAGCCTCGTGGCCACCATCACTAATTATCGCTGTCGCGAACCTTTCTGGTAATTCTTCTTAGTGTCGCTACGCTGAATACCATTATGCTGTGTGTAAATAGGTAGACGTATGAAGCACAATCGCACCAATTAGAACTCATCGTGTTACTTCAGAGAGAACCGAGCAAGTATATCACGATATTTGTTTCTAAATTGGCTGTTTTTTTTCTTGTTTGTGAAGGTGTCGGGACAGGATATCTAACTAAACTCTGGGGTCCGCGTCGAGTTGCCCTTATTGGATCAGTCCTCTCCTCGTGTTCGATTATGGCCTGCTACTTTGCGACGGACATCACTCGACTCATAATTTTCTGCGGAATTTTTCATGGTAGCCATTTTCGTTGGTAGCAAAAAGGCATCATAGAGCACATGAAGTCCCGTAGTTATTATGGACTTATGTAGAGAAACACGTTTCATTTGCCCTCTATTGTAATTATCAATGTATGTACAAGAACCTGTCGGATCTCGATAGCAGTCCTTCAACATGAAGCTTATTGTGTTCATATTGTCGCTGTAGGAGAACTTGACATGGAATACACAAATTGGTGTAATGAATACCTTTTATAATACGTATAGTTACCGATTGGACTGAGTACCTCTCCTAATGTGTAAGATATTCTTTTTTTACTATAATTACTTTTGTTTCTTCGACCGTGTTGCCGGGTCGTTGTTTAGCAGGTCTATGACTAGTGGTATTGTCGTACAGTTTATCGCTTTATCATTCGCAGGTGTATTTGCGATTTTAGAAAAAAAGATCTTGTTTCTGTAAGAAGATCATTTTTACCACCTGTGATAAATGAGGGGCACTGTGGTGGCATGAGCAACCCCACTTCAGGGAAGTGTCATCGCTATCAGTTCAGAGTATTAACCACCGAATATTGAGCACACTGACTGTGGCATTCACTGCTTATCATGTATTTGTATATGATACATTTTTTAATTCCGGATTTTTGCAGGCCTCGGTGTGGGCTTGAACGTCCCAGCAATTGCAGTCTGTCTAAATCTTTGGTTTCGTGATCGAAAGGTGACCGCGAGTGGTATTATCTATACGGGTGCGGCACTTGGGTCGTTCGTATATCCCATCTTCTTTGAATGGCTGATTGACGCTGTTGGCTTTCGCGGGTCATTTCTGATCTTCGGAGCCTTGATGCTCCATAACCTGCCAGCAGCGCTTTTCATTCGCAGTCCGCCCTGGCCTCCTATTGAGTAGGTGACGCGCAAGACCATAGCATCTTATTATTTAAGACGGAATATATCAAAGCACTTAAACGCCTTACACTTAAGCTGTGAAAAGGACAAATCCTTTGGCATTTGGTAGTGCTAAAGTTCGATTTCTGAGTGTTAACAACGCAGCTCATTTTTTTTATTGTCGGCAATATGTAGAAATTTGGGACGCAGTCTATCTGGATGGTAAATAGTTACATTACCTTTGCGCCATATCCCAGAGCATCTCGAACCGTATCAGTGAAAATGTCGTATGATAGGTAGAGCTATGCTATTTTTATAACTAAACAAAGTCAGCATTCGGCTGAAGTATCGTAGCTCTGTATTGTTGTAGCGTGCTAATTATATTAGTTAACTATACTGCCGTTATATAACACTATATAAAGCAGTCGTATATAGTGTCCCTTGAGATACAAATGTAAACCTACAAAAGTCCGTCTATATTTAAGCGACCCTAGCATTTCAACCGCTAATGGACTCTACCCGTTGTATCTGACTGCACAATGCCAGCTCACGTGCACCGTCCAGGCAGTCTTCCCGGAGGCCCTCTACCGCCATACCTGAAACAGGTACTAATCCATTGGAAGGAGAAGGCAAAGACACAGACCCCGCCGTTGATGCGGTACCTCCAATGCCTGTACTCCGTCGTAAATCGTTAGTAGCTTGCTCTCTTTCCGAGAGCTCGTTTGATAGTGCCAAAAGCAACGAGGAAACTACTGAACAAAAGGGGTGTCAAAAGATTCGCACGATAGGGCAGCATAATCACAAAGTTGAACCAGTTCTCGAGGAACTGTACGGTGGTAAATACAATTTGACGGACGGCAGCAAGGAACGGTATAACGAATTAAAAGAGAAAGGCCAAAATCATGGAAAAATTGGCGCTGAACAGATTAACCACACATCAAATTCTCATCGTCAGGACTTCAACTGCTGCCCTCAGCAAGGTACGAAAAAAAACCTCTGTTCGAAACATTTCGCCTCGATAACAATACGTGTCTGTCCTAGTAGACTATTTTATGGGCACACATTATTGAAAAGATATTACTGGATGATCTATGACATGAGTCGGGTACGTACGTAAACGTGTTGTTACCAAACATTTCACAGAGTCCTACGATATTGAAGCGACAACAATGCGCAAAAACCAAAAAATGTACGCGTGGGAACAATAACCACTTTAGTCCACTAATGCCATTGCCAGCATACACTCAGGTGGTATTGTGGCATGAATGTGGTCTGTGCCTGTCTTAGTTTGGTTTAATTTATCTTACTTAATATAGGAGAATCAGCTTCACGCTCTTCTATGCACACCGCAGCACGGCTTAAACTGAGGCGATCTTCATCAGCGATATCGACCAATATTTCACTGTACTCGCCCGCCGTTCCTGTTTCAGTAACAGCTGAGAAAGATTTCGAGATCGAACAGGCTGGGCTAACCTTCGAAGAGGTACGTGACCTTGAGCTAAGATGAAGATGCTACATTTGTATTCATATGCCTACTCTGTTAGTGCCATGAAAAGTTCCGCTTCTCATTCGTTTGCGATACGAAGGCTGTACTAGGGCAACAGTTCTATCTACGTAGGCTCAACTGGGAGTTCTCTTTCGAATAATCTAATACTGTAAAACCGTCCGGGTGCTCTGAGTAAATCTTTGCTGGAACTTTCATGGTTAAGCAATGCAGATTAGTTTTATGATCTAATCTGACAATTATTTTATTTACCATATATATATGAAACATATATATCTTTGAAAAAACTTTTAAATGTGTACTTTTTAACAATGAAAAACTTTTAAGCAGGTTATCGCATTAATGTTCCCTCATTACACTGTATATTACAGCCGAAGCCTGGTCGTGTAAGTCCCCTAATCGTACTCGTCGGTATCACCTACGTTCTTCTAATTAACTGCAACAGTGCCTTTCAAACGATACTCCTCGATTTCGCAGCCGACAAGGTAAGATCGAAAAGTGAGTTTTCGATTATAATTAACTGATATTAAGATGATTTATCTTCAAGTATGTTATTAGAATTGAAAGCAACGTTTCGAAATCATGAAATGGCTGTAATTTTTAAACCGGGAAGATAACACTAACATTTAAACACCGTAGATAGCGGACTAGTAGTTCCTTCATGCTTGAGGATTTTCGATCTTTCATTATCCTACTAAATTTCGTTATCCTTTTCTTTTACGCGCAAGTTGACGTTTACGTATTAACGTGTACGCCTTTGCATGGAAAAAACCGTAATTATTTGGGCTTGAGCCTGCAGAGAGTATGGAAATGGAGTCTCCTCTTATTACTATAGGCCTTAATTCAGGGTATAATTTCAATGCTTCAATGAGATTTTATCAGAAGATGATTGCCTTGTTACACATCCACAAGTGTTTTTAGAAATGTTAACCATCAAGAAAAATAGGTCTTGATATTCTTGGGTTATGTCTCGAATGTAAAAGGATTATTTCGCATGATATTTATTTACCAGCATGATAGTCCAAAGCCCTGCGAGGATATAGGAATCCCATCGCGGAGCTACAACCCCTCGATCCCTAACTTCGTAACGCAACAATTTAATTGTGCCAACCAATGCAATGGACAGTACCTAAATCTTTGACACCTGTAGTTGTTGCTCTCGACTTAGGTGTATGTGGGACTCGCTGATGAGAGTCCGCGTGATCACGGTTTAGGTAGGATTTTTTCAGATGGCCTACCTACGTCTTGTCCATAAGGCATGAGATGTGATAAACGGCATTTTTGCGGCGATTTTAAGTGGAATTAGACATAAGCCGTAATTGCTTTTTTTTTTTTTAATTAAACTTGTATGTAGCCTTGGTAAAGTCAATTATAATCTGCAATCCAGGAAAGTTCTAAATCAATTCACCGGCCTAGCAGCATCAGCGGGTGCTTACCCTTTTTAAATACGAGCTTCGTTTCAATTTTTACGTGTCGTAATAACCGAAATGAGATCCGCTGCCTAGGTCATTGGTACGAAGGCCAGGTGCGCTCAATAGTTCGACCAGGTCTTCGTATAGGACTGGTGGACTAGAGAAAAAAAATTCATAAGAGAAAAGCCATCTTCGCCTGTTGCGTTGTCATTGATAGCAAAGCATAAACAAGGCTGAGTACCTATACAAGTTATTTATTATCGACTTGTTTTTTGTAGTTTTAAAATATTTATGGCGTTGTCCTAACCGTTAGACGCAATATTTACTGAACATGAGTCACTTTTGGTTAACAGGGCGTAGAAATTCATCACTCGGTATATTTACTATCGGGATTTGCGGTGTTCGACATTGCTGGAAGACTGGCGGTAGGAATAATCTCTGATATGGGACTGATGTCTAGGTCATCGTTGATCGGCAGTGCAGTTCTCCTTTTCAGTGTTGCCATGAACCTCTTGCCCTTCGTCAGCGGATTTATAATGCTCCTTTCGTTAACAGCACTCGTCGGATTCACATTGGGTATAACTGTTGCTCTCTATTTATATATCTCGCATTGACACGGGCACACTTGCCCGATCCAGTGTTGATATTCGTGAAGAAAATATCGTGACTAGTGAAAAAAATATTCAGATTAAATATCTGGCTATTTATAATGCATGGTAGAGCAGTTAGTTTTTTCCTCTAAAAATTCTAAAGCGCGTACCATTTGGAAATCAAAGGTAACTATTATCAGCTTAAAGTAAGGCAACTTAAAAACTAAAATAAGTTTCACTACGGTATCGTTATATTTACGTTATTAAGACGCAGACATACAGAGGACAGTTATTAATTGCCGAGAGGCCTCCTTCTGGCTATTTTTTTATTCGCGATGTGGAAATATTTCAGGTACATCAGTGGTTCTTATAACCGTACTCGTTGGCGACTATGTGGGGAATCTCGCGCAGGTTCCACTGGCGGTCGGATGGATGGCCTTCTTCTCAGGCATTACCGGATTAACACGACCCCTAATCATCGGTAGAATTTCTTTCGATCCCATTACAATGAATCTAAGTTTGGGCTACATTTGGTGCTACGGACAGGTTAACCTTAAAGAGATTCCTTTAGAGAGAGACCTACCTATCTTTATCTATCAATTTATGATATACTAAGTTTTATCTTTGAACCTTTTTTGAAGTACAATTTCTAATCCTATGCTACCTTACGTGCTCCAACCGGGTGCTTTACATTAATTCACCTTACGCTTGCGTAAATAATTTGCTACCGGATCTTTAATCAGGATTCTTTCGGGACATCATTGGTAACTACGATGGTATGCTTCAGCTGATGGGATCACTTATGTTGGCTTGTGGCCCTATGTGGATCGGAGTCAACTGGTATGAAAATTACTTCAAAAAAAAGAACCAAAACGTGAAGACAGAACCCTCTACTAAAACATCGACTGTGCTATCTACAGAAGCGCCTAGCTTTATGAAGGCAACAAAAGCCTCAAACGAGTATAGTCCTAAGGGAATCAAGGACCGGGTCGAATATGTAACTCGATTATAGGGTATTATTATATAATTGTTGAATTAATTGACACCACATATATACCGTTGCATAGTATTATAGTATCATTATCTTTAACTAATATATACAGAAAAGGTTCATGGCAATTTTAGAATCGATAGTTTTCCTATTACACCCCCCACCACCAGCAAACCCCTCAATAGTAATATTTGCCTATAGGTTATACAGCGCGGCCGTCCAAATGAGCGACAGGCTTAGTAGACATTTACTCTCATAAATACGCCGCGAAATTACTAGACAGAGTTAGAGCATTTACTCGTATACATTCAATGAAAAATACGTAGATCCCCATAGTGACTTAGAGTTGATCCAGACCCTAGGCATCGATCGTATATGTGAATCTGTTACGGATTCGCCTGTATCAGTATGATATATATATAAAAGCCACTATTCCGTTCGACGGATCAACGGCGACAGCACAACGTTTTCATTCGGAGAAAACGTTGGAAAACTTGTAATAAAGCGTTGTCTCAAGTTTGACGTAATGTAACACGACCAAACAAGCTTTCTGATTGACGAGATACAACAATGCACATCATATATAGGCTAGTATAATATAAAACACATCTCGGAAACTCATAGATCGCCTGGCGGGATTCGAAAATGAAAAGACTGGCATTGTTAGTGGATAGGAATTATAACGGAAACTTTCAGCATTGCATCACATCTGAATTGAATAATCTACCTGCAATGATAGACATGATTAGAAGTTACACTGAAGAACTTTAATTTTACTAGATTCGTTTTTATTGGAAGGAAAGCACTTGCCTCTAATGAAAGTGCTTTATCAAGATTTTATGGTTTTCGATTTCTCTCAGAATTACGACTTCTATGATTCTGAACGAATACCCACTGCCGTCTTTAGCGACGCATTGCAACTGTGGCTCGTCTCTGTTAATCTAGTTGTTGCTGTGATGGCTAGGCCAGCCCAGTCCAGCCCAGGTCGGGCCTGCCGTTCCAAGGCATACATAGATCACGACAACAGATGCTGGCGTGAAGACCAGAATATTCTTCGCGATTATATATTGGTCCTCCTCATTAAGCATCACGATCGTATCTATAGCGATTACTTTTCTCGTTGTTGTTGTTGTTGTTGTTGTTGTTATTATTATTATTGCGATTGGATTTCGCAAACGACGCCCACGGCTTATTAACAGACTACGGTGTCTATAGCAGCAGGGGCACCCGCAATGAAGTGAGTGATGGCGAGATCAGAAAACCGCAGCGGCGCATCTTGTAGTATAGTCGTGCAGGACAAACTGGGAATATTCCACCTTTGTTATAACTACTTTTAATAATGGCACACCAGCTAGAGCGTTAGTGAACGAATCAAAGAACAGGCCAACAGATTGATTTTTTGTTTTTGGATATTTCAACTCGCGTTTCGCTGCCAGCGGACTCCCTTCCCCCCCCCGACTTAAGTAAGGCCTAATAGTATTACGCAATTAGCACTGCCTGATCGTGCTTCACTGACTATTTACGATCTATTTGTTATCATTTTATCTGCAACGGAAAATCCAAATCTTGATACTCACGAGAGCAATATGGAAATGGCAATGTCAAAGCAATGGATAATTATGCCGCTTTGAAGTGTGGGCAAGGACAGAACTTCCAACCTCACAAGCGAGTAAGACTAGCAGTTCTATAATAACTACAACTATTTCTCTCTTTTTTGCTACAAGTAACAAACGGAATAGTAATACCATTTGCCAGCTGAAACGGACCGAATGGTCGCAGAACGTCGAACGAGCGGACACGGCATACAGAAGCCGCTTTGAGTAAAAGACTTTACGCCATAATTGTTCGGTAACAATGTTGCAAGAACGTTTACACGAGCTCGTAGTGGTGGATTTTCTGAAAACTGTGAGTAGGATAAGTAAAGCCAGTCTATAGAATTTCAGTATATGCACGAAGGGAAGCCTGGTGTGAGAAGAAAGCTCGTAGCTATTGCTTTGAGAAGATAAAATACTTCTACTGGCTGCACAATGCCCCGGGATAATTGCAGCTGGAAAGGACACGGTTTCATGGTGTCCCTACCTATTTAATAGGCTCTAGGCTACACCGTTTTCCACCAATGTGCTATATTTTCCTTGCGCATTTCTAAAGTCTAACCAGAGGTATATGCCATCATATATGCTTACAGTAATGCTTGATAAATTTTTTAATATTACGTTGTCGTTATTAAGCACTAGTCGAGTAGGTCGGTAGATAGATAGTTGTCCATCTCGTCAATGGTTTTTTACTACTATCGATAATACCATTCCGTTAGACGAAGCTGGCTAATTAGTAGCTCCTTTTAATAAATTACTGTGTTTATGTAAAAAAAAATGTTTATATTTTACAGGCGTGTTTGTAATCTGTCATAGAAGTATGTGCATTTTAGAAAGTAGTGGGAATGCATGTACAGCTCGACTTGTGTAAATGGTCAAAATTAGTTTGTAAAATTACTTGAATTCAATGGGTATGTTTTGCCCACCTAATCTTCTACTAGTGCATATATGTATATTGCTTTTCCATAGGTAGGTTGAGAAGAACGGACACTTGAGCCTTAAGGCAACTATTTAACGGTATCCATAAAACGTTTTCCCTATCTAATGACAAATCATGAATAACTATAAAGGAAAAAAATAAGCTATAATGTACTTTGTATATGAAAAAAATCGGGCAATTTCTTTTAAATAACAGATTTAGAATTATGCGTCATAAAATAGGTTTTTTTTTATGCTGAAGTCGTTCGCGGGAACATAGAGCTTCTTTTACCAAGCAGTCTACATAAAAAACTGGATCGCTTTTTATTTTTCCTTGTTACTTTTCCGCTATGCTGTCTATGATATTTTCTGTTGGATTTTTTTTTGCAGAAAATCCACTAACCATAGGCAATTCTAATCGACATTGAACTGACGAGTATTGTAAACAAAAAAAAAAACACTTCGTTTCAATAAATAGATGACGACAGCGCGTGGCTTGCATCCATAATAAATGCCCTACATCCATACCACGATGCTCGTACTATGCCACCAATCGTCTATATGCAAATACAGAACTGCACGAAAGACAAATAGCAGTAAATTGCCCTGAATCACCGGTGATATCAGCTCATATTAAAGGGCTATATACTTAACCGCTTGCTAGACGTTCCTGTCAATTGGAACGTTATCGAACATCATTATCATGTTGCTGCTGCCGCTTAAGGATATGCCGTGATGGATTAGGTAGGAGTGGCCGCCTCGTCAGATAAAACAATAAAGCCTGCATAGTGTATTGACGGGAGAATCCCCGGAACAGCACTCCCACTATAAACCGGCTATATTATACGACCGACTAGCTGAACGCTGTATCCGTTGCGATAACAGCTGATTGTAGACATCAAATAACTATCTCACATGCACACAGAGAGATAGAAACGCATTGGGAACACGGCGTGGTGACATAAGGCCGGCATTATGACGATATTTATATTGAGATAGAGGGCAAACGTAGAAGAACGAGGAAGGGAAAAGTCAAAACTATAATTCCTTAGCATTGTTCGCTAGCGGCTATACGACACCCGTTCAGATATCGCAGTTGATTGTTGGGCTGCTGGTCCCAAGTGGAAACCCGTCGAGCTATAGGCAGTTGCGAGGATAATAGATTGTTGACATGCGCCGCATGAGGCATGAGAACGCCTTGCTGACCGTAACAGCGGCATAAGTAAGGGCAAATGCGTATGCTGTCACGGCGTGCATGCGTATAGATTTAGAACATGCGGAAGCGGCGAGAAATATAACCTCATCAAAAGTTAAGCGTTAAAGTTAACGGGTCTAATGATAAAAATAGCATATTAGAACGGGGAACATCATCAGCAGCGGAAATGGCAAAAACGACAGCATCTGCCCGTACGAAAACTGTCTGTACATTGGCGCCCCACTGATGGCTGATAGCGGGTGGCATCTCGCGTTGAGGAAAATATGCCAAGCAAGCCACAGGCGGAAATAATGGCTTAGAAAAAAAAACTATCAGTAGCATTATGGCTTTATAATGATGGTGATGTTTGCCGCGTAGTCCACTCGTTGACGTGGTAAGGTGATTCATTTTATCGTTATTATTACTAGTAGTTTGTATAAATCGTATTTGCAGTGGTATCAATACTCTTGCTCATAGGGCAGTTGTCAACAACATTAATATCAGAGAAGAAGAACCCATAAACCATACGTAGGTGTGCTTTACCCGAGCTATGACAACGTCAAACACACCTGTACATCTACTCAAAAGCTTTTTCATCCCTGATCTAGTTTAACAGGAGTCTCACTGACGGTTGATCGGTTAAAAAATCGTTATTTCTACTTTATAATTGGCATTTGAAGAAACCAGTGCATCTCGCCTGATCCACTTTAAATGTACCGATTTAGAAAAAGGGAATATTAAATTAGACGTGTTTGTAAACGGTCGACGCATACCGCACTGGAGCCCATCTCGTGCTCCATCTTTTCTCTATCAGTTCAAAGTAATCATTGTTCTTTGACGCTATAGGACTGAGGGAACTTGTTTTAAATCCTTGATCTGCCATAACATCCATTTATACGCAGGATGAATATAGGCTGCGTCGATTTTCGAAATATTGCACGCGACCTCCTACGTTAACGAGTCGTCAGCAAAATTATGCTCACACATCAGCTGCCCTTAGCGTAATGAATATTTATCGTATCAGCGTATGGTTATGCTACAGAACGGATCGAGAGATGCTTTCCGGGTCTGAATTATGAAGCGAAAAACGCGTTATCGGTACCAATAACTTAAAAGCTGCTCAGAGACAAAATGGGGTTTACAGTGGTATGACACCACAACAGCGCTTCCCCAGGATCCGGCCAAAAGTCGTCGATGAAGCTCAAATCGACTCGAACCGTACGGGTATGGCACGTTGCCGTTTTTAGCGAAAATAATTATTTAGATGTGCTCTATGTACGAACTAGCCGAAGTAATTTCTATGCACGCCTGCCATGATCGAATCTTAATAATACGTTCGTTCCGTTGATATCGAGTAGCATAAAAGGAGGTCTTACGTTAGCCGAACGATAATGGTTCGAATGCGTAACTTTCGATCATCAGTGGGCGTGCACGTAACGCTTACTTATAATCACGTATAATTAGGAATCAAGAGACGCAATTTATATTACTCGATCACGTTTCCAGGCGCTTGTGGGTACTTCTGTAATAATCTAGTACTTAGATCAATATAGAAAATAGCTTTCTTGATTCATACAAATTATGTAGTTGTGTCAATATTCACTGTGAAGGGACATGTGATTATCGAGGAACTGATACGCCCGTTCCTTTAAAGAACAGTTGTATATATTCGCTGGTTGATAACCGATATATCAGAAAACTAACAGCTGGCACTGGTTTTCTATATATAGTTTGGCTATATATAGTTTTACTTTGTGAAAGTTGACTAAGGTAAGACCCAACAGAACAGAATGAACCATTATTATTATATTGTTTTCCATTTTTATTCGTAATGGAAATTCTGGAAGACATTTATATAAGTGCTTGATGAAAGAAAGTAGATGGCCTTGAATTAAGTCATAGGAAGAGCCACCGCGATGGCTTGGACGGCCAGGCCTCTTGCTGAAAAACGTCAACAATCTTCTTCGATAGTAGACAATTACAGTGCAAATGAGGACCTGAATGGGAATGAAAAAACTAAGCACATTATCAAATTTATAATCTGTGCTTAGTTTTGCATACGAAAAAACTATCATAAATGCGTTACATTGATCATTAGTTGCGGGACGTCTTTGAACACGATTAGAGCCAGACACCTAGCACTGCTTGTCGGAACTATCAACCCCAGCACTTACAGGCTTATAATGAACGGATTGTTGACAAAGCTTGTTCTACACATTATGCAATATCGAAGAAATAAGCCATACTAGTGCTAGCGACAACTATTTCTTGGACATGTACACAGCCTAGTGCATCCATATCGGAATAAACTTCAGCGGGCTGTTTGTCGTGACGGGAATGCGTTCATCCGATCCCCCTACTACAAGCACAAAAACCTGTGTTCTTTCTAGAACAAAATAACAGTCTTGCCATCGCGGGCAACAGTGCGTTGTTTTTGCAATCTGAGTGAATATCAGTTACTATCCAATCTTGCTGAATACTAAATGGGTTTCTAAGGAATTCTTTTCTGCCATAAAGTCCGGTCTACGTCATTGACATGAGGCTTTTAAACAATCAAAAGAAGATTTCCTTCAAGCCAGCCAGAGGATCATTAACAAAATTTTAATTTATAACACTTGAGGATTCATTAAAATGGCCGTAGAAATGTTTTTCATGCAGCTAGGTTCTCTCGCCGTTAGGAAATAGGCGACCGTTTTAGAGAAAAGGACATCGACTATCAACTGAGCTGCCTAGATTAGCTACAATGCTTAATAATTCCGAAAGCACTTGCCGTTTTTTTACAGCCTTTGAATTTTTGGAAGCTTTGATGTGCTGTCTGTTTAAATTTTAATGCTGTTAAAATATATACGCCATATATATATATATATATATATGGCGTATTTGAATGACCTTTTAGTGAATTTGCACCTCTCACAGCATCCGAAGTCGTCTGATGCACGTTTACCATTGAAGCTTATTTGAGGATTAAGAGGAATATTTTCAAAATGATTAACCTATAATTTAATTCTTGAGCGTAATCGTTATGAAGTATAGTTAAACTGAATAGCAGATCCTCTTCTTCTAGAAACTTAAAAAATTGCGTTAATAGTAATTAAATACAATCCTAAAAACGAGATATAAAAAAAATTCTCAATTTAGACGCGCCATATACATATATAGGTTAATTACGCAATATACAAACCGCAGGGGGCTATCCCGCGTCTTTGGTTGAGTAACCACCGGCAAATCATCTAGATAAATAAAAATACGTTCCATCTCTTAGAATGTTTATGTTTGATCAATATTATATATATATACTGTTATCCGTCAGGTAAACTTGTGGATTTGTAATGTGGGCAGATCAAGTACTTACTAACGAATTAGATAACGCAAGAACGATATCAACAAGTTGTTGATCGTTTGATCGGTCGGCTCGATGGATAATTGATCATCGAACCCAACATGATATCTCTCCTGGCGTAAAAGGTGCATTGATACACTCGTCGTTTAAATATACCCTAGCCTTGTTTATGGGTAAGTCGTTTAATGGCGGACAACCCATTTCGATGTGCTGTTACAGCTTACGGTACTAGTTGACATCGCAACGACGGCAAGCCACTTGCCATTGGCGCAGTCCACAAAAATTCAATAACGGATTGGTACGTGTTCTCGCCTTCGGTCGTGTCCGGCGACGTCAAGTTCATCACATCGATGAATCGGTTAGTCCTGTTGCGGTCCCTGAATAGAACAGCATTTTTGGGTCTACCATTTGGCACCAATCGTCCACATGAGGCCTTGTCTACTCACGGCAGAAGTGTTGGTGATGTCATTTTTCCAGTTGTTATCTGTTTCATTGCAGATCACCTGTTTTCAATCGGCTAGTTATGCCTATGCCGCTGCTACCGGTGTTGTGCATTTTTTGCCACCAAAGGCAGTCGCTGCCGTTGTTACAACTGTCAGCTGGTTGCTTTTGCCGTTGTTACTACGAACGAAAGGGAAAGCAGCGATAAAATCAACATTTCCCCAAGTTGACTTGGAGTGATAATGCCTCTTTTCGAAGAATAGAAACATGAAGCGGACAAACAGAAGTTCACCGATTTAACGACACAAATGAAATTCGCGTACTGACGGAATGGCTGTTTTAGGTAAGTTGTTTTTAACGAACTTTTATGCCTTATGTGCATGAATAATTTTCTTGTGTACGTTCAAGCGGACGCCAAACTGCTGATCCTCCGACTCGAAAGCGACGGGACCCTTTCAGATGAAACCGATCATCGAGAGCTATTTGGCGTTCTAGATAAAAGCACACAACACGCTAGAGTATTGTTTTATGCTATAGGTTGGCTCAATTTAATCGTTTAGCTGAAAGTATCTTCATTTCACAACGCCTATACTTGCGTATGCAATGTTGAGAGAGACAAATCTTCTATTTTCTTAAATCCAGTTGTACTGTGAACAAATTACTGCCGTTTCGGAATTTTGTTGTCCGTTAGATATTTTCTTATCGAAGACGAAAGATTCCAGTATTTGTAATTCAGTATCATCCGCTGAAAGGCTCGCATGGTCCTAATAGTATAAAGTATCCTTAAATTATCTGCAGATATCAGTACTAGTAACAAGAACAACAGTAGCAATGGCAACAGTAACTATATACATAGCGAAAACAACCAAGATGACCGATGTATGCGTATGTGGGTGTGTATGTACGTGCGTGCGTGCAGCGAACGTCAAAGGTACTTATGGATAGAGGACGCATTCAGCTACTCGACGCTATAGTATATAGTATGAATTGTCCGACATGTTCAACAGTTGCATGTACGATCACCATCACCGCTGTACAATTGCCAGACGATAGCTTGATAACAGCGGACGCTGTTATAGACTCGATGCATTGCCGTTGGATGCGACAACAAGATGAAGACAGACACGTCAAGATAAGCGAAGATCTAATGAAGAACGCTGTTGCACACCGTACATTCTTTTTTCAAAGACGCTGCATTTTTTTTTGCGTTTCTCCAACTGAACAATTGACATCCAAGAATCAGTGGTAAAAAAATGTCACAACGGCGGTTCTACTAAGCGTCGGGTATTACTGCACGACGTGACACTACTCCGTCTGCAAGACGCGTACCATCCGATCTTGATGGTAACTGCTATTGCCATCAGAGAGCTATCGGTTATGACAATCGGAACGGTCAACTAACGGCACAATTTCAATTAATAACGGCGACGCTGCTACGAGTCGTCGATCTTATCACCACGAGCGGCAATAACGAATTTAGCTGTCGTGTTAGAGTTATTTAAGAAGACGCCTCGCCCCTCTCTACACGTATATATATTTACTGGTAAAAATGCACAATTTTCAACGTTTACCTATAAATAATATCTAGAATGACAGACGAGGCATCTTGTGAGCAACGATAGTCCAGTCTATATCCAGAAAGATGCATAGATACGTTTTCCTTCCCTAGTTTTTTTCCTGCTTACCTTTGAATACATTTACGACGAGGGAATTATGGCTAAAATGGTTATGATTTCAATGAAGCTATTTGACGTAACCTGTCGTGCGCGTCCGAAGAGGCAAGAGGTACTCTAATTGACCAAGACAAGGAAAAAATGATGCCACTATATCGTTGACAAGCTGAGACTTCAGGCGATATCGGCTCGTTTGGAAATGCTACCCGATCTTCTTAGATCGCGTATACATATCTTTCCTTGCTGAGACGCGCGTGCCCAGCTGTCATGGCGCCTATGGCTAGAATCGATGGCTACGTTAGGGTAACTGTTTACATAGACACATTATGCAATGAGCGTCCTACGACGACTCTGTCAACGTGCGAAAAGAATCGACGGATGCGGGAAATGTAGCTATCCAAATGTTATGGCTATGTTATTCCACAGGTTTAGAAATTTCGGATATTCTAGAGATACAGGCGTATGTTTTACACAAATAGGCAATCGGCGACATCTTTGGATTTTTTGTCATCACAAGTGACAATCGATAAGTAGATATCGATCACCCTTTCAACGTGCCCTAAGATATTGAGCGAATTAAATTTTGTACAGGGCGCATACGATTTTGTCGCAAATACCGCCGACGATATATAGGGGTCTGTTGAATGAAGAATCTTAATAAATATCACCTAATATTTTTATAATATACGAAAAAATTCTACTGGGAAAGGAAACGCTTTAAATTCAATACGGTCGTAATTGATTATGACGAAATATAGATTTATACCGTGTTAAGTTAAAGAGGATTCGTTCAAACAAACCTTTCTCATGGTAAACGACGCTCACTGTCACTGTCACTATTGTTAACGCAATCTCGAGACCAGTCACATTTATATATCACATTTGCTCAACGAACGCCAAGTCTGCGCGCGTAAAACATCAACTCAGATAAACGCCATTTTTTTTTTCGAAATACCGCCTGGCGAATGAGATTTTTTTCGTGTCACTTCGAAGCCAAAGTTGTCACGATCGTCCACCACCGCTGTATACATCGATACGCCACAACGTTCCTAGTAGTTTTTTTTTATTAATTATTCCGTTTCGATTACTCAGTTAAACTGGCTTAAATACTTCATTACATGCCTTAGTTATACTGTGCTAGGGTGTTTCATGCTTGTTTGTCAATTATGGGCGCCGATTGGCCTTTAGCAGATAAAACGCTAGCTATCATTGACTCGTTAGTATGATGCTGTCAAGCCAAAGATGCCCGCAAGTCCCATGTAAGCGTTAGTTCCCTTCAAGAATAAAACACATACAGCAATCCAATTGTTTCAGTGCGTTTCGCAGCAAATCTAAATTTGTACCATGAAAACAAAAAACAGTCTTCCCAACTATTGCCGTACTCGCCCAAAAATGTCATTTTGTTTCCAGGATGAAATTTTGTATTTTCCCATATATATCCCTATATAAGCCCAGCCTACACGCACATATATGTATAGTGATTTCCCGAAAACATACAACGCCTCATCTCAGAGCTTTTCCTGCTTATATACACTGCATAGTGCATGAGTATCATATGCTTGAATTACCAACATTTGCTGAAGTATATCACCTAGTTACGGCATCGCCGGTCACAGACATTAGCGAAACGTCTGACAGTGCGTTTATTGCTATTCGGGTAGAGGCGAAAACAAAGGACACTTTCGTTGAGGCACTTGCCTCTTACGAAAGCTCACCCCTGCTTTGAAGTAGTCGACTATCGGCTTCTATTTATGTGACTGCGCTTATTGGCCCTTCGAAAGTTAGCTTCGTTTGTCGTACGAAAGAAAGTCAGCCAGTAATAGGAGTGTCGTTGCTAATTGATCATTTTCTCAGTAGCCTCAACCGGAATCGTTGAAATTAATCACCGACGTTTGAAAGCTATGTACTTAGATATCGATATAACCGAAATTTAGCCGAATCGAACCTAGAAATAGAACAAGTGCCTAATTTTCCATTTACTTGAGGGGTAACCGATTAAATAATCCGTATTACGGAAAGTGGCTGCAGCAAAGAAACTAAAAGTCTATTTAATCTCAGGTAGTAATGGGGTCTGGCGCTCACGGCTGAAATGCTAAAATCAGCCTTTGATTAAACACAACAATTGTCCTTATTATTATCATCACTAGGCTAACGATGTGTTCAATTTATACGTCGCTGAATTGTCGCTTTTACTTTGTACACATGGTAGCTTAGCGTCTGCGACTATATCAGGAAAAATCTCATCGAGAATAGTTTATGGGAGCCACCTCTGGCGAGAACCGCGAGCGTGTTTGCATCGTTTCTAACTGAGCGATTTACTCGCGACGCCCGATCAGAAGATCAGATTCATCCGGCCTTTTTCACGGTTACAGAACATTTTTAGTGGAGATGCAAATCTATTTTCCATAACGAAAAACTGAAGAAGGTTCCCTCGTAACGAAAAAAACGTATCGCTGAAACCTAATGTACTCTCTTTTTCTTTAAATGCAGTAGCAGAAGTTACGGATTAAAGACCTCTTATAACATTATTGTTAGCCGAAAAAGGCGTTCGCCGCTAACGAAACAATAGCTTTTGACCAACGTAATGCCACCAACAAATATCGAGGAACAGATTTCTCGGCATCTTGACAAATGTTTTAAACAGTCGGGGACTGGAGTCCAAAGTGCAAAACACGTTTGATCTGCAAAAGCTAAGTAAACTTCTACTATAAGTTCCATCGTTTTCGTTCTAATTAACAGTCAGGTATTCCAATTTTTACTGGGTAGATTATGGTGATTTATTTCTTAAAGAATCGAGCCAGCAGGATCCATGAGCTCGATCAAAAGTCACTGCTTCAACTGCTGCCAACGGCACATCGGCATTACACACTTCCTGTGAATAAAGGAAGCCATATTTTTTTTAATGGGTCCTAATCAATTGGACCTTTGATGTGTGAAAAAAAAAACGTTTTTACATTTTACGTAACGTCCGGCAGTACCCGAAGTAAAACTCGAAATATTGATTTATATGAAATTCTAGTTTGTCGGGAATTAGAAAATAAACTCGGTTTAATAATCGGGTTCCCGTATCCCAATCCATACGTAATGAATCTATTTATATAATTATATTATAAACGACTAAGTCACGATGTGGTTTGTGACTACGACAAATTCGTATGGGATGCGCAAGTATTCGATGTCCGTCGTTCAATTCTACTAGGAAAGTTTCATTAAGCGGTAGTGAACCTTTTCTTCTTTTGTCTTACATTAACTCAGCAATCATATATAATATCTGTCATAACAAAAATACAATAGGAGTTGTGATAATATCAATGGTTTGCCATTGATACATCGCTAACGTGTGTGTCACTTGTTCGAGTCTGGAGGGTAACGATCTGCTCAGCCATTTGCTACCTGCCTAATCTCTAACGGGTGGAAAGCCGCTCATACCGTATAGATCTTTGTTAACAAGACAGCCGACAAGTGGACGTATCAACGGTAACGTTTAGCTAACGTTGTTACGGCCGTTGTTCTAATACATCGTGAAATGTATAATGGCGCTCCAGTTTAAAGCTAAGTACGGCGCATTCTGTTGTCGTCTCTACCGACGTTACGATTCTATATCTAGGTAACATTACTAGCTGTCTTTTCTAATAGAACTAACACGCTTTTGGCCATTTGTGCAAAATATGGCCTTAACTCTCTGGCCAAGTATCGAACGTTTATTCGTCCTTCTACGCAGATCGGGAACAATGAACACCCCGCAGGCAGCGAATACGTAACCGATGCCCACTTCCCATAAGAAAACCCTTTATACTCATTCATAACATTACTGCTTCTTGCAAGTATAGGGCAAACAATTGCAAACGATACGATTCGTGACGCCACTCACGCTTGTGGTGGTGTCGCTCGTTCGCATTTACGACGGTGCTTGGAAACGGTGACGGAGGGTCTGAGAAGCTGTAAGAGGCAAAGTGGAGAAGCTGCAGAATGAAATGGAAAAGGTGAAACGTCAATGCAGAGGAAAGGGCAGGAGAAAACGGAGGCGAACAAAAGCAATGAGAACGGAGGAAGGAGGGATCGACTACCGCTTAGACCCATTTGCACTGTTCCCTCCTTCGTCAAATAACGACACACAAGCGAACTTCGGAGACAGCGTACACAGGAATTCATAGAACGCTTGGAAAAACTACTAATTAGGTGCGACATGAACGTGCACAAACGGTGCGCGGTCATCGACACCGGGCAAACGTCAGCTGACGTGCGTAAAATCAGTAGCACTTTACTAGTTACGCGTGCTGTGACGCGAAATTGCGAAGTGAATGAACAACATGATTCGGGCTGGCTTTCCCTCTTCTTCCTATAAAATCATCACATTCGGAACGCTTTGGCCTGCTACCACATAAAGTTTAAAGAGAACTGAAAACGTTAACGTAAGACGAAAAAACTTAATATCCCGTAAGCAGTCAGGTATAAAAAAAAGATTAGGTTTTTATCATCTAAACAAGATGACACATGGCAGGTTGACGAAAATGGGACGCTTCGCCGAGTACATACATAGTGAGTGATTGATTTTGTTTCCAATAAATATGCGACGAAGAAGCTGTCTTAGTAGGCATATATATACAATAATTAGCTTATAGTACGTGTCCGCTTGAGAGACATGTCAGGATCGGCTCGAATAGTTGACGAAAAATTAATATAACCAATTTACATGCTACCCATGTGCAAGTAAACACTTGCCGGCCTCACATATGTTTGTTATTTTCAGTTATATATATATATATATATAACGTTTGCTTCATTCTATTTTCACTAAAACCAGAAAGGCGTGGGTATGAATCGGTCTCGTCGAGCGCCAAACACGAATTAAGGGTCACTTCGTCATTGGAACAAATAGATGACAAGTATCCCCGTGCTTTTTGTCCACCTATTTTTCCTCCTATGTAACTTTCGTTTGTTTTTTTTCTCATTGTTTTTATCGACTTAGTTATTGTTTATTGATTGGTTATATCAACGGCAAGCAATATGACCAGATTTATTACGCGCATAAACAGCAGCAATAGACTTGAATTTATATACACTCAGGTCTGACATTGTGTACGTATTTTATACAACACAATTGGTTGTTGTTGTTGTAATAGAAATTTGTGGGCATCGAGACGAAATTGCCCCGCTCCTTAGGACCTATATTCGGGCAGATAACTTGACACTTCCTTGCAGATACAGCAATAACTTTCTTACTTTTTTTCTGTTAGAGAGGTTTCTATGCCACGAAAAATATTTTAGCCTCGAAGTTGGCATACGTATCTGCATTTTACTGCTGTCAGATTTTCTCATTATCTTATCATAGGTTGCATACGTTTGGAAATTGTGATTGTTGCGTAGATCAGGATCATGTCTTCGAAAGTTCGGTAACATCTGCTTATATGTGACTATCTTCATGATAGTGCAGTGGTAACTGACTTGACCGTAAGATGAAACGGGAACGACTCGAACCAACAACTTAACCATATTATTACAAACCGAAATCAATACATTTTTAGCGAGCGTAAACGTGAGAGCAGTGCTATTGCTGATTATTCTAAGGGAGACAATGTTTGCTTAAGTGGTGGCCAAATTAGCGTAGTTCAGCAGTTAGGCTTAACATACCTATATGCTTTTGCTAAAGATCCCATTAGTTGCTTTGAGCCATTGAGACGTGTTGCCTTTGACTATCAATGGCCAGTTTGGCAAGCATTTCGCATTTGTCCATTTGTAAAACGACGCAATTTGTAATGAACAGGTCGGTAAATCAGGCAGTCTACGCTGCACTTCTCGCGAACAGCGCGGTCACAAAGAGCGATCGCTTGAACGTTTCGTTGGAGCTTCGACGGTCGTTATTTTTTTTACAAGCGGAAATATGATTCGAAGGACAAACAGTTTGCGAATATCGCTCGCCTCCGACTGATCCAGACTCCGCCGACATTGATCTGAAGGCTCGATCTTGATACAAGACATCTTTAAAGTTCTCGATAGCGCACTGATACGAGAAGCAGCTTCCTCAGTCACAGCTGCCATAGACAAGCTAATCAATCGTATTTAGCGGGCTTATTTATAGATGGCGTGTGGAGCAGCAGTCCTTGTCTTATCTTTATTCTTATATCTTATATACATATGTCTTATATTACAAGAATATCTTGTGAAGCCAAGATACTCTCGAGCATCGTTTCCATCCGCTCGATCCTCTTGTTTTTGCAACTGGAATATAATTAGTCAAAATAACCCCACTCAACAAGTGGCAGCTACACTGTTATTCTGTTGTTCTACTTAAAAGTGTTTTAACTTTTCCTATACGTCGTCTCATTGCAATAGAACTTGAATTGAAAATGCCGCGTGTGATTCTATGCGCTGGCGTGGTGTTCCGTATTGTGGTCAATGGCTTCACCGGACGTCGTGACGACACGGTAGCTCTTAAGCAAACAAAGCCTAAGATAAGAGCGGTTCTGAGGTGCATTGTTAGTAGTTTCGTCTGACCAAGAAACACTCTCCTTGTCGGGATACCCTCAACTTGATCATCGGATTATGGCTATGAATGCAAAATAGTGTAAAATACGTATACATTAACTAAGCGAAGGAGAGACGGCACGCCATAACAAATGGCGAAATAGGATTTTGTCATTCATTATGAAGATGTATTGATCTGCCGATGTCAGATATCGAATGCGTCATGAATGCAGACGTTTCAAGAAAGCCTTAATGACTGTTATTACTAAACGTCTTATCAATAAAATCGATGGAGTGTATATATATATATATATATATTTTTTTTTTTCATATAAATTTGAAACAATAAAATCAGTGTTTAGGCTGCGGACACCAACGGAAATATGACTGCATCAAACAGTCGTTCATGGCAAACGCACGACGATCCTATGCTTATGGACCACCGCAAAGCCAACTTGAAGGTCTGATCGGTCCACAATGACCTGGGTGAGATTTGTTTACTGCCGCATTAGATTTCGAATCCATCCGATCGCTAGGTATCCTGTTATTTCCCCTTCTATATAAGGAGACTTCAATTTCAATATGTTTAAGGTCTATCTAGAGGAGGCAAGACCTATCGGGTTAGGATCAAGTAGAACCTAAAATTGTACAGCGATGCTGCATCCCCTAAAAGTCTTTACTTCGAATTGCTCGGAACCGTATAACAACTACATGGATATGGTTATTAAACTATACATAAAAATCACGAAGCAAACTAACCACTTAATAGGACGATCTCGTCTTTCCCAAAGGTGTATTATTTTTAATACAAACGGAAATCTTACTTAATTAATTTAATTAACTATTAATTATTTAACGGGCTCAATTTCGCTCAATCAATAACTTAGATTTTTCGAGTTTTTAGTACGTGGTCAGCTAACTTCTATCGACTGACCGGTATCGATCTGGCTCGGAATACAACTGAGCTAGTAGTTGTGTATACATAGAATGCAAAAATTGTCACAATTATATTGGTATTGCGTATTATCAAGTGAGACAAGTACAGAATAACCACAACCCCCAAACAATTACAAAGTATGAATAATTACCCATATTAGAATTATCATGTTAGCGTCACAGGCTTCAGTGCCTAGATGATTTTAGAAAATTGTGTATATATTAGTTTTCCCCAATGAAGTGCTGCCATTTTTGGAAGTGCTGCTATTGTTTGGCTTGTTCAATGTCCAGTGGCACGTGTAGGGGGAGAAGCTTCGAAAGTTTCTATAGTTAGAAGATATAGCATGATTTTCATTCTAGCCGGTTTCGTACTATATCATTATAAACCATGAGCGTTTCTTAGACAAACGTCGTTCGCTTTCGCCAATCTACTTCTTGCAAAACGAATATTCATCTCTAAGCTTTGTTGAATAATCTACTTGCTCGTACAAATTGATTAGCGGGAGGTAAATGGCTCCACCTTCAGCGAGCCCGCTTTACGGATCTATACAGACCCAAAGCATAAATGATTCCACATTTTCATGGAAATTCTATACCCTCCCATGGGCCACAGACGACCCTCAGGTGGTAACCCCATGCCATTTGTGTTTCCTCTCTGCCAACGGCTGTCCCGAATAGTAGTATTAAAGTAATTTTTGCCCATTTCTATAATTTCACTGGCCTGGCAGCTTCAAACTGCTTGCAGGCATCTTCGTCCTAGAGTAGTGCTCGAAGCTAGACCACAACATATCGCTTAGATTACCGGGCAAACGCGTTCTTTTTGCTTAGGGCTTGAAGACTCTCGATAATTATTGTACAAACACTCACAGGTGTATCCAACGTTCATCTAATTTGTAGTAGAATGGCTGGTTCAAAGAAACTTGATATACTTGTTTGTTATTGAGTTTATACTTTGAAGTGTACGGTTGAAGTAACGCTGCTAGAACTTATAGTATAAGTACATGCTTTTTCGCAGAGTTAGCCGGGTGCGGCTTTTCCCAGTTGTGTCGATCGTGTTAATTTATCGAATAGGATATGCGTAATACGTATATATATACCTGCGCGCTTGGCTCAACGAAAATGCTGAGCTTTTTTTAAAAATAAACGGCTTAAGTACATTTTACATACGGCTTTAAGGTTTCCGTAGAGAATATACGCGTGTCACGTCAATAGGACGCTTTGTTTACGCACAAAACCTAACAAGACAATTAGAATAAAAAGCGAGAGCCATACGATTTCGGAACCCATATCGAACGGTTCTCTACACGTTCGATTATTTCAAATTTCGGTCCTTACATGGGTCTCGATTTCGGAGTGAGGAATAGCGTTGGTCATGCTGCCCGCTCTGTATTATGTCACTATACAAATGATGTTCGAAGATTTCTCATTCTGTTAGTTAGCGTAATCTCTAGTGGGTGGGTTATATTCTGTGCTCTAAAACGGTGCAGCAAACCTGACATAAGAGGTTCCGGTGACCTATTCACCATAATTAAAATTCAGCCCTGGAAATCGAGGCACTCATTTGCTATAGGATTGCGAGGAAACTCCGAGCGAGAAAAAAAATCTTCGACTTTCGGACGGTGGAGCTTTTGTTTGTCGTTTGATTTGTTGGCGTGGAATATAATATACGTCAGGCATTTTCATGTAGAATAGCCTTTTCAATCCATATTCAGTTAATATTCATTAATCAACTATACACAGCCACATTTAGTTTTATCCTAGAGCTCCAATAAATTCTCAAACAGTACCTAAAGTACTTCAGTTGAGCTTTAGCGAGTATTCAAGTACGTTGGCTGTTTAGAAAAAGGCACGGCCTCAACGTTCAGCAGGACCTTTGGCAGGCTCATTGGGCGGGTATATCTAGGAATGCCAGTGGCTTGTCATAGAATTGATCATGAACTTGTGCAAGCGAACTTCGAATCGTTGCTAACGCCAGGAGGGTAATTCGCCTGAAGGGCACTCCACATTTAATTCATGTCAGGATCTCTCAACGATCTTCGATTGCTACGCTCACCTTAAAGCACGATAATAACTTATGTAGCTGAAAGTTCAACCTTTATAGGAATTCTGCTACAGTTTGGTAATCGCTTCATGACACCCTTCGGTTGACTCAAATACTACGTGTCATTGGACCTCTTCAAAGGTACAGTTGCATGAATACTCGTAATAGATTTATGGTATGCAACCTGTACCGAGGCTTCAAAACGTACACATTTTTTTTAAAAACAAATTAACTGTTGTAATTCAGTCAATTTTCCATCTGCTCACAATAAAATTGATTTTTTTTTATGTGTACAATGAAAGCTCATTCGCCGATCGATTACATTTTTTCTTACAGGACTGCCTAAGGAAAATTGGTCATAAAAATAACTTAGCTGAGCAAATCACCGGGCCAAGTATAATCATCATAATAATGATATTGTAAGCTTATCGTTCAATACAATGTTCATTACTAATGACGATTACAAGCAACAGCAGTTGTGCGGCACTCATTTCAATATGTGTTTGTGTTTGTGCATTTTTGCTTGTCTTGTTATCTACTAGCTTACATACACGGTTTTATGGACAGGGTGCTAAGGACAAAGTATGGACTAATCGTTCACTTGAAGCTGCCAACAACGTCCCTTTTGTCGAATTTCATCTGTCTTTATCGCCAGGAGTCAATAACAGCAAAAACTCACTCCTGATTTAATAGCAAAATCAAAGGTGGGTCGCGGACCATTTCGTCTTTTTTACTTAGCAGAAAAACGGTTCTTCAATCTATTGACAGCGATAGCATACATCGCGTGTGATCTTCCCTAGAAAATATCCCAATCGAAACTGGACAGTATGGTCGGCCGAGCATTATCCAAAAACAAAAAAATAGACGCTTATCTATCGCCCGAGTTGACTATACCGTCAAAGTAAAGAAATACATAACTAATCCGCTGTGTGCCATCTGCACATATGCGGGCTTGATTTGACGCGTCGATGGACTAGCGCGCCCACAGTTCATGCACACACGGACGTACGACGCGCTATTATTGTTTGTCGTCTCAGTGATCCGGCGTACTCCAATTCGTTCTGAGGAAAGGCTCATCAATGTTGACTGTCCATTAGCTGATGGCGGTGACGGCAGCGCGGTGTTTTCGGTGCACAGTTAACCAGATGATGACGCCACTCTTCCACGCCACGATGTCACTTCTTGACTGTTAGCAAGGATAGCCGTGAAGGTAATTTTTTACTTTAGCGCGGCCGCCTGAGTTCGCCTATATTATAGCAGTTCAAGCTGCCCTCTTCAGAATGTGCTAGATGAGCATTACTTATATCGCAATGCCTGGTGTAGCAGCAAGCACAAGTCGGAAACAGCAGTGACAAGTAATCAATAATTGGCCAGCTTTATGACCAGGCACACTTTTTCCTTTGGTGGCTAGGCGTCCGGCTAGTAAGTATACCGTAAGTGGTAAATGTGCGTGGACTATCTCGATGGACCATTTCTTTTCCCTATGCGATGATTGCGTCACGCAGGATACTTCAGTAATTGTAGATTCTCTGTTGTAGCTTAGGATTGAACTCGGGCACAGATAAACCTCGTTTCTAGCCGTCTGTTTGATGGAATGCCATCAGGAAGAGATTCGTCACTGATGACACTGCTTTCAAAAATGCAAGATCCATGAACAGATTAACTAGGCAATTAAAAATCTACCGCTTTCACCATTGTCAATGGTACTCGACTAAAAGATAGAAAAATCCAGCAGTACTTAGTATTATAGACTCCATAAGTCTAGTTAGGACCTTTCTTGTTCTGAATATGCAAGGACCCTATCTGAGCCAAGGCCAAACGCCGTCGACCGCACACGACGTTGTGATAACAAAATACCGTGTGGCCTGATTAAC